CTCCGGGCAGCCCCGGCGGGGAACGGCCCTGCGGGGAGACAGCGGCTCCGCGCGGGGAAACGCGTACGAGGAGCAGCTCTGTTCATCGATTGAGGTGCTGCTGGGAAGATGCTGAAATAAAGGGTGATTTTTTTTTGCCAGGGTACTTTTTCCTCCTTCAATAACTGCCGTTTGGCCGATTTTGGAGAAAAGGCAAAAGTCTCCAAAATAAGGTTTATGGGAACGGCCCTGCGGGGAGACAGCGGCTCCGCGCGGGGAAACGCGTACGAGGAGCAGCTCTGTTCATCGATTGAGGTGCTGCTGGGAAGATGCTGAAATAAAGGGTGATTTTTTTTTGCCAGGGTACTTTTTCCTCCTTCAATAACTGCCGTTTGGCCGATTTTGGAGAAAAGGCAAAAGTCTCCAAAATAAGGTTTATTTTTCTTCTTCTGCTATTTTTTTTCCCTCCTCTTTTTTCCCCAGCAGGTGCAAACGGCCAAGCTGAAACCCAGCCCCATGCCCGGGCTCCTCCAAGATTTCCACTTTAATAATTCAGCTTCACCTCTCCTCAGCCCATGGGACATGTTTCCGCCCCAGTCCCGGAGCTTGGATGTGGAGAACCGGGAAAAGCTGCTGCTCCATGGGAGCTTTTTTCCTGTGCCGGGGCTGTGCCTCTCTGCACGAAGCCAGCAGTTCCGACGTGCTGCACTCTAGGGCTAAATAGGAGTTATTTTCAACTGATTTTCACCATCTTCCCACCAGCATCTCTAGCGATATAAAGCAGCTTGTTGGCGTGTCCTGAAGGGAAGGATTTTGATGCGGATTTCATTGTGTTGATTTTTCTCTCCCTGCTTTTCCCCCCGCCACGTTTTCGTGCTGCCGGATGGTTTTACCCATCTCCCTGGGGCGGCAGGATTGCTTCTCCATGGCCAACGTGTCGTGGTTCGGCGGCTGTTGGCGTGTCCCGAAGGGAAGGATTTTGATCTGGATTTCATTGTGTTGATTTTTCTCTCCCTGCTTTTCCCCGCGCCACGTTTTCGTGCCGCCGGATGGTTTTACCCATCTCCCTGGGGCGGCAGGATTGCTTCTCCATGGCCAACGTGTCACAGGTGAGAGTGCTTCGCTTCTTCCCGGCTTTCCCTGAGGATGCTGCTCTGATGCAATCCTGGGGGGTCGATGACGATCTTGGGAGTTGATGGAGTTCTGTGAGGCCCCAAGCCTGTGCACAAACCTCACTGCAGAAAGAGGGGAAAAGCCCCAGCTCTGCCCTCGCTGCGGTTTTGCCCGCCGCCAGCTTCGGGTTTGCAAGCGCAGACACAAGTCGTGTCACGGGGAGCGGATTAGAGCCGTGGTGGAGACGAGATCCCATGAGCGACCTCACGGGGGAAACAGCCTGTCCCGTCCTGCTTGAGCCTGTGCAGCGGCTGCCGAGGGGGGG